CCCGGCCCCCCCCTGCCGCTCCGAGCTCGGGGCGGGCAAGCGCCAGCGCCGCCTGGGCCCCTTGCCGGCACGGAGCCTGCGGCGGCCTGGTGCGCTCACTTCGGCTTTGTGCCGGCGTGTGTTGTCGCTTCTGTGGAGCGGGTTTTCTCCACACGCGCGACTTCCCTTTTTTTTCTTTCTTTCCTGGGATGGTGGTGTTGAGGCTTACGTTTGTAAGGAATTAACGTGTACAGCCCTCGATTCAAGCTGATAAGCGCTCTATAAAAGCTGAGGCAGCATTTCTAGTCGTCGCTTGGGTCAGTCGTTTTTACTGATGCTGCCGATGCTGGTGCCCGCTCTTCAGACCCTACGGGCCAAGTTCAATGCTCAAACAAGCGCAAGTTTATCTTTGATGGTCTCCTGCCCTCTCGTGGTTTCCGTGAGCCATTGCAGGCGTAAGTGATGCCAGCTGTGTTTCTGACGTGGTTAGGTTAGTGCAGTGGATGCCTTCTCTCCAGTTCTCAGTTTGCAAGAGTAGTAAGTGGAGAGACGAGGGTTTGGAGAAGAGTGCCGCTCCGTATTAACGCAGTTCTCCTCGCCCAGCTGTGGTGAACTTCTGGCCTCCAAAAGAATGAATTTTGCAGAGAAGTTTTTTTCCCCTTTTCATGGTGTTTGCCTTTTGCTAAATCGACATGATGAAAATAGAATGGTTAATTTTACTGTTGCTGTAAAACCATTTCGCCTTCTGGTTCGAAAACTGAAGAATCCTTTTTGCCAACAACTGCTTAAAAGTACACTAGTAGAAAAGGGGATCTTCTCCCAGATCGCCTGGGAGAAAGACCCCTTGAAAGGCACGTGCTGTTGGTCTTAATGGCATCATCTCCCTTGAAACATCCAGCTTTTACCAAGCTCAGTACTTGTACTCGTCGTGCGATCAAATCTCCCCATGAAGGAGTTTTGAAGAACACCATCCTGAAAAACAATACCGGAATAGATTGCTGCTGATGCCAAAAGAAGGAGCTGCAAATACCACAGACATCTGCAATCACTCTGAAATCCCAGATGTATCCCAGTGGACTTTAAGAAGTGTGTGAGCTTAGAGGCTCACATGACTGGTGATAAAATAGCACAGAAATAGCACATATTACAGTTTTCAGTGTCTCCAGCTCCTTATGTGGATTTTTCTATGGACTGTACAAACTTCTATAGCCCTACATTTCCTCTTGCTAATACTATTTCACTTTTATGTAGCATTTTTAAAAGTTGTACAGATCTGAAATAGGAAATCACTTGTTGCAATTGCTTCTGAAGTGTTTTAGAGAACATTACAGTTACTTTATACATTGTATTTTTGATATGCGGTAAAGTATTCTGCATGTTCCTGTTCTAACATGTAACATTAAATTTTAACCCTCTAACATGTTGCACCCAAGTGGTTTTTGGTGTCTCCTAGTGATGGCACATACGTAATCTCATGTCATTGGCATTTATTTTAAAACATTTAGTCCTCAAGCATTTTAATAGACGTGCCCTATATGTATATTTTAAATTAAGCTTCAAAGGTGAGAAGAAAAGTTTACTTTAAAATGAATGTATAATACCCCACAGTCTGTGAAAATGGTGAATCGCTTCTCCATGTGACTATCTTAACAGTTCATTGAAGAGCTTGGGGAGTAAATGTGTTTAATAAATGCTCAGAATAAATATTTTGTTTAATTAAATGAAGCCAGAATCACGTCCTAGAAACCTTCTGGGAGTATTAACTTAGTGACCTGGAGGCAAAGTGAATGTGTCCTGTGGTTATCGCTGCCTCCCACGTGCTGCATTTCAGCAAGTATGGGACTGCCGGCTGAGTATTTTCTCGTCTAGTCTAGTTAGAGCGGTTACATGCGCTTTTCCGTGTCTTCGTCCTGTGGGTTGGGCTGGAGAGGAGACCTCCCCGCGCTTCCTCTAGGTCCTGTTGCCTGGTTTGAGGGACTGACAGAATCTGTTTTATCGTTATATACCCCAAAATGAAAGGCGGTATTACCAGCGGGCCGGTTAGCTCAGTTGGTTAGAGCGTGGTGCTAATAACGCCAAGGTCGCGGGTTCGATCCCCGTACGGGCCAGTTCGTTCTTTTTTTTTTTCTTCTCACCTTCATCGCAGCAACTATCTTAAATTAAATGTA